CTGGAGGTCACTGCCATTGTCATACTGAGGTTTTGTACACACTGAGTCGGACTGAGTCACCGGCGCACAGAGCCTGTTCCGTGCAAAAGCTGTGCACAAAAGTGGGAAATGTGCTTCATCTACTTATAACTTGGTTTGAAAAGCGGATAATCTTTATTTTAAAAAAACGCTTTCATAATTAGTTTTCGCTTATGTTTTATTGTTTTTTGCGTGATATCTGGTGTAATTCATTGGTAATAAGTACAAGTAGACTATTATCCACTGTTGTGTTATTGATTGAATCTGCGAGGCATCTTGTTTGCGAACTGCATTTCCGGCACCATCGCTATTCTACTTCCGCTACAGTCATTAGCATTGATTATGTCGCACCTGTACTGCTACATTTCTGAACAAGAGCCATTTCACATGCGATAGAGGTATGTGCTTTTGAAGTTTTACTTTTTGTTGTTTGCATATAATTGGCTATGGTGAGGAAGACTTAGCTCTAGCTGACGCCATGTAATATTGCTTGTTTGTACCCGTAAACTGGATATGGAAAGCTGGGACGACTGCCCCGATTCTATACTCTTCGTCTTCTTCGTCAGCAGACAATACAACTGACAACAGTAGCCCTACACAGTCGTGTTCTAGATTCTAGATCTATAATCTAGATCTATCTAATCTAGATCTAGATCTAGTACTGTACTATGCTTACACTTGCTTCTTTGTTTGTTACGATACAAAAACTATACACAGTAACACATTGGAATTACAAAGGAAGGGAGTGGGGGTAGAATCTAGACGCTTGGACTTGGACGTTGGATAGACTGGGAATTGTGTGATTCACAGTGATTGTGAGTGTGTCTGCTGAGTGTTAACAGTGACAGTGCAACGTCCTTTTCAAAATCAGAAAGTAGAAAGTCCTTTGCCTTTGCCTAGCGAAGTGGGAAGCAAGCCTTGGTCACCATGGTGGTTGCTCTTAGTTAGACGGAGGTTGCTTCTTACTGATTTTTCCAAAGGAGGTAATCTGTAACAGTAACACATCCCGTTAAACGTAGAAAAGACGCATCTTCTTTCTGATTGGCTGCTAATTTTAGTAATGTGATGTCATCACTTCCTGGAGTACCCACATGGAACGACGTGTTTTCAGTAACATTTCGGATTTCCTAGATCTAGATCTAGATCTAGCTAGATCTAGATCTAGAATCTAGATCTAGATTATAGATTAGATCTAGATCTAGATCTAGATCTAGATTCTAGATCTAGATATAGTAGGCCTACTTGGACATGATGGAATCTAGATCTAGATTATAGATTAGATCTAGATCTAGATTCTAGATCTAGACTAGTAGGCCTACTTGGACATGATGGAAGACCGCACGAAAATTGTCGTAAAGACGCAGGAGGACTAGATCTAGATATATATATCTAAATTTAGATCTAGATCTACCACCTCCCCCCCTCCTGCATTTTTAATCACTAATACTTTTTTTTTTTAAAACAACAACTTGAAAGCAACTCTACAAACTAGGCCTATAATTTATGGAACTGTTGGTCAGTCGGGAGGAGGAAAAGAGAAAAAAAAAAAAAGCTGTCCGGGACCGGAATCAAACCGCTCCAAAAGTCATTGCACGACATCAAACGCAGACGCTATCAAAACTTCCGAGAAAAATGTGTAGATTAAGCATCATATACATAGCATAGACACTTCCATCTTTGGTGCCATGCGGTTGTCTATACTTAGATGTAGTCATGTGATCGGAGGGGTATCCTTGGGTCTGACTTCAAACAAGATGGGCGCCTTACCTAAAAATAGTTTGCGTCTTTCTACTTTTAATCGCATGTGTATTTATCAACCCCCACCACCTAGATCCCTCTATAGATCTAGATCTATATATATATTACTTTTTGCACACCACACGGCTGCGTCTATTGGGACACATAGATCGGAAGGACTTCTGTAACGAGCGACCACCCCAACAAACACAATAAAGAAGAGACCTAACCCTATCCCTACCCCAAACTGTACCTAATCTGGTGCTTTTTCGGTAGTTCCCACCCCCTTTATTTGAGCCTAGATCTACGTCTAGATCTAGATCTAGATCTAGATCTATACGTTTGATGCGCAGCGATCTAAGATATCAAACCTAACAACCTCAAAACATTAAATTATGGTAAAATTCAGGGGGTCATGCCCTCCTGAACC